TATCTTGTTTGAATTACAGGAAAAATGTTCATAAGCAATGATGGCTTCTGAACAAGGGGGAGATGGTGTTTGAGGTATCAAGGTGGATTGTGAGATTGGTTTCAAGGATAATTGAGATGATTACCTATCTTACATGGAGTTGCTTACCGCAATAGTTACAATTCTAGCATCCAAATGGATCCTTATGAAACTCTTTATGGGATCTCTCTCTCAAGAAATAAATGAAGATCTAAAGTGAAATTAAGTTTGCAACCTCAATTCATAAATTAAATGTCACGACCCAAAGTATATCCTAGGTGTAACATAGTGTATAGAACCCCAAGAGGCCCTACACAAGCCAATTAGCATACATAATACAACATAATAGAAATAGAGATTTCAAAGAAACAGTCTTATATCATAAAAGGAGTTTGACAAAAGCAAAAGTCTAACAGAAGTCACAATAAGTCATCCATTTACATCAAAAGAAGTGATTGGGACCTAACCCATAAATCACATACAAGTCTAAAAACTGAAATGACATAAAAATATAAAAGTGTCACGGTCTTCGGAACATAAGGACTTACCAATCCTTGAACGCCAAAAGATCAACTAGCCACAAGTATGAGAAGTAGAAGCGTCTGACCCTACATTATTGAAACAATGTAGGCACAAGTATGCATTATTACATGGAATGTACTAAGTATGATAGCAATGCATAAGAGTTATGATATCATGCCAAAGAGGACTATACATGACATGCAATGTCACACCCCGAGGCTACCCCTTGACGTAAACATGGGACTTAGGATCACGAGTGACCCCAAGCCAACCCTGCTGGCATATCATTAGCATACTTAAAGATTTACTAAACATAAAAATATTGTGCGGAAGCTTAAACATGATATAAAGAGAAATGATGGGGAATACCCATTCTAAATCTGAATATCTATAAAACTGAGAGTTCAATAACAAATGAAAGATCAAACTCAACTAAAACTGAATCTAATTATGTCTGAATAAAAGTCTCTATTGACTAGAGATGTTGGGACATGCCCCAACTAACTCTAGCAAAACTGAAACTAAAACAAGAATGACTGAATAAAAGACATGTCAATCGTCCTCGAAGAATGAGGACTCACCACTATACTGTTGAACTGGAGATCGAGAATCGATCTATGCATGATCTGAATGCTGAGGACATGAACCTACATCACGAGAAGATGTAGTGCAGAGAATGCGTCAATACTTGAAAGGTATTGAGCATGTTGGAGAGGATAACGCTGAACAATATATATACATAACTGAACAAAGTAATAAGAGCAATGATATAACATGAACTGAATTCAAATACTGAAATATACTGAATACTGAGCTAACTAAATGCAATGACCAAGTATAAACATGATGAGACTGAATACTGAACTATAACTGAACACCTGGTCAATACACTAGAGTCTAATTGTGGGAACTACTATTAACCGACATAAAATCATGAGAGCTATCTGTGGAGTCCGATGTATTGACCCATCGAGAGGACCTAATATACCTTGCCAGGGGTATAAAGGCATGACTGCGTGATCACTAAATATGTTGCCCACAGAGGGGACTTATCCTACGGGGGCACGTAGTTCTGGGACTATGAGGGTGACTGACCCTTAGTCCACTCGGTGTTAAGCCTACTCCCAACTGATTATGTAAGTAACACATTATAACTGAATTTCTGTAATACTTAATAACTCAAAGTACAGACATGCTAACTGAAAATGCAACATTAATGTACTGATAATGAAACATTCTTAACTGGGGCATGTATATCTGAATAATCTGACCTAGCAAGTGTAATTCATGAACTAAACGAATCTACACAACTAGGGTTCTGAGTTTCATGCAAAGAACTAAGAAACAATTCTACGAAAACATGATAATCTGATTTGGCTTAGTCTAACAGCAGAATCACAACATAAATATGAAATTCTAGAAACCCTAGGTCTAAACATGATATAGAGAATCAAGAATCTGACTGAATTTTAGGGACCTAATGGGTGAAAGGAACCCACTAGTGAAATCCCACATACCTGGTGACGAATTTCACGAAGAAATCTTTTGATTTCGAGGCTGGAATTGGAGGAAATCTTGTTGCGTCCTTGGAGAGGGTTGGTCGACTCTTTTTCCTTCTTTTCGTTCAACTTGGATGAATTTTGGAGAATGAGTTGACAAGGGTAAGTTCTAATTAAGTTACTAGGCTAAAACTGACTAAAATGACGTAGTTTAGGGGCTAAACGACGTAGTTTAGGGGCTAAACGATGTAGTTTAGGTGTCCAACACATAGGGAAAAGATAAAAATGACCCTAACTTAAAAGTTGTCGGGGCCCATCGACGGACCTGGTCCACGGACTATGGTCCCACCTACGGTCCGTCCTGGTCAGTCATCGACTGGCTTCAGAGGCTGGGATCTGGGGAGTCTGAACCACGGACTGTGGTCCCACCCACAGTCGGTAGGTCCTGGCGTGGTTCTGGACTTAGCTGAATTTTCCTGGGGTTCTAGGGAGTCTGAACCACGGACACTACAAAAAAAATAGCATTTAGCGACCGATTATAGCGACAAACAATATTCTGTCGCTAAATAACGACGGATTAGCTATGGAAAAATAAATTGGTCACTAAATTTTTGAATAAAATATTGGGACCTAAAATAGCAATGGAATAGAGACAAAAACTAAAATCCATCACTAAATTTAGGCGCTAAAGTTTGGTGCTTTTATTTTGCCTATTAAATTAGATAATTACCGACGAAAATTGCAATAAACTTAACTCCGTCGCTACATTTAAGTGTTAGCGACGAAATCAACGACGAATCTTTTGTTGCTAATTTTATTGAGTTTTTTTATATTAATTTTTTTTTATTGTGACTACCTTTCTTTTTAAACTATAGTGTGATACATAGCAACGAAATTTCATAGCGACTGATTTTTTCGTCGCTATCTTATATTAAAAAATTTCTAGGGCACAAATCTCACTCACACAAATTAAATCACTGCTCCACACTAAATACACATACATAGAAGCACCTTCTGTGGGAAGAGAACCTTGCCAAAATCATCGGTCATTGCTCTTTGGGAAGGAAATTCGAGCTCATCTTCCTCTTTGCTGCTTGTTGCTGCTCATTGCTCTAAGGAAAACCAATTTCATTGTTGTTGGTTCATCAAAAGGTTACAATAGTGTCTATTATTATCTAAAATTTTATAGTTATTTCATCTCTGGTTCATCAGCAGTACTCTTCATCATCTTTTTTATAATATTTTTTACTTAGAGTAACAATGGTCACTATTATTATCTGCACTACTCTTTGAATTTTTTATTTATCTTTTTGAAGGATCTATTTTTTCTTTTCTTGTTATGGGTAAAAAATATTTTCTATTTGTAGTTATTTAATAATTTTAGATCTTAAAGCTTTCCCCTTTTTGGATGTTATGGGAGAAATTTCTTTGGGGGTTGATGGTGTGATTGAAGAAATGGGTCTAGGTTTTTGACTCTAGTTTACTTTGTTTCCAAAATCGAAAGTTACTTTTGAAAATCGAAAGATAATTTTTCTACTATTTCAGTGCTTACGTGCAAAGAAACACAACAAAACAATGTGTATGGTGCAAGGAAAAGTAACAAAACAATGTGTTAGTGTAAGTGCATACCTATATTTAAAGAAGATACTGAAACAAATGTCTATATTTTTTTTTCTAATGTATTCCAGATTTTTACATAATAGAGTAATGAAATTGTATATGAGTTGATGTACATTAAAGATGACATATTCTAAAATCTCAATAAACAGATATCATTCTGTCATATTGTTTTGTTTATTTTTGTTTAACTGCTTGATATATGAAACTTAGTGAAACCGACATAAGCTAGACTTTCCCCCTTCCCTTGCTCTCTGTTGTTTTCTGGTTAATTAGACGCAATAATGGATAAAAATGTAGTACTTCTTTTCATTCTAACATTACACCACTAGTTCTGTTAACTGTTAATTTTTGTGGTAAGTAAACAACAACTTGTTGTATGTGAATTTTCTTTTAGGGAACACTTTTTATTTAAGTTTCTGGTGGTTTGATATAGCTGTTTTATGATGCTGTAAAAACTGGAAACTTAGAGATTTTCTGAATTTGTTAAAATAAAAGCACAAGCAGATGTAACTGCTTCAGTTCTAATTTTGTGAATAACTCTAATTGTTTTGTGTTTTTTTAACATTAAATAGGAGTATGGATAATATAAAGCGTAGTTGAATGTACACGAGATTAGATGGTCGAGGGGCACTTAATTCTAGTTTTATAGCTGGCGTAAATGACTTTCTCAAGTTTGCATGTTCTCATAGAAACCGCATGAGTGGTGACAAAGTTAAATGTCCATGTAAAAAATGCCACAACATTAAATACATGGATGTTGAAACTGTTAAACTACACCTTTTTTTCATTTTGGATTTGTTGAGAACTATTTTGTTTGGACGTATCAAGGAGAAAAGGAAGTGATCGATGAGATGTCTATTGATTTACCCAATGATACACAACCTGGATTGGGATATGATAATTCATATCGCCAAATACTAGTGTATTGATAGAAATGTGCTATTGTATCATCAGTGACTTTTGTTTATAGTACCATGTTTTGGATGCAAATTTCTGCTCAGTGAATCGTACTAAACTTAATGTTTTCACTGACTGTTTTTTAAGAAACAATATGCTTCTAGACATATTTTATATGTGAGTACTAACTTTACTCAAGTTCTTGGTTAGGTTTTGTTAGATGATTGTTGTATGTCGATTTTCTTTTAGTTAACTCTTTGTGTCTCTTTTTGATAGTTTTATACATCCCTTTGATGATGTTGTTACAGGTTGCTTTGATGATGTTTTGTCAATCATGATCAAAGGTAAAGTTCTTCTTTTGTGCTCTGATTCTGAAAGTTGGGTATTTGAGAATATCATTCTTCAACAATTTTTAATTCTCAAAGGCAGAATCACATCTTATGTGAAGATTATATTCTACCTTGTGCTTTCTCCCAAGTTGGCAAGACCATCAGCAATGTTGTTCACCTCCTAAAGGTATAGTTTTCTTGAATCTTCAACTAATTGACGTCTCTGATGATATGATCTACTTGCCAGGTATCATTAGAGTCGGTATTATTTAATTTGTTCCTCTAAAAAACTGCCATGTTCGTTTCTAGTGTGCTTTTAATTCTGGATTTTCTTCCTCTAAAAAATCTGACTTCTCACAAAAAAATTCTTAGACTTAAGTGCTTGACTATCAGATATTTTTGGGTTGCATTTTGGTTACATTTGGAATTTGTTGGAGAGAAGTAGAGCATGACTATTAATTGCTTGATGCTTAGCAACTTCAGTTGGTTTAAAACAAATATTGTGGTTGCAAGTTGCAATGTAATGATCTGATCAATCTTTCCTAGTTGCAATGTAAAATTTTATTTTCTTTTCTTTTCCTTCTTTAGTTTGGAAATGTATAGGCCTATGCAATTTCAAAGTTATTTTTCTTGTAGATATGACGCGAGGCAGAGGTCAAGGTAACACAACTCGTGCAAGCAAGACCTTAATTAGAGGTCGAGGTAGCACAAGTCGAGTTAATATGCCTACTGTTCCCATTCCCATAACTAATTCACATCAAGGTGGTATCAATTCTTCTGCTGGACCAGATCAAAATAACCAATTTAAATATTAGCTCCTACTAGTTCGCCTCCTGTTCAAACATTAGCTCATGGTAGTACTCCATCTGTTAATTTTGAAACACCTCCTGTAATATCTAATCAGAGCAATGCAATAGGCGAAAGTGCATCTACTCAAAGAAATGTGATAAGGGAGGCGACTACATCTAGCCAGAACAACACAATAGGTGAAGGTGAGAGTAATAATAATTCTGGACAGCAGACACTTGTTTTTCTTTCTCATTTCGGGTAAGTTTGTACTTGCACTATTGCTATTTATATACTGTAATTTTTTCATTATAGACTTCATATAATATTTTTCAATTTTTTTTCCAGTTTGGAACCTTCAAATATTTGCTCTACCAGGATATGTGAGTCTTTCAAGAGTGAACTTGATCCCAATGAAATTAATTGGAAAAGTGTCTCACAAGAAATACGAGATTTTTATCTCGGAGAATTCAAGGTATATATTTCACCATTTTAATAAAAAAAAATTTACATCACTTTTGAAGGTTTGTAGACTAATGTTGCTTACTTATAAAATTATTTTAGAACAATTCTATTGGGATCCTTCCATTGATAGTGAAGTGAAGATACTATGGCGTAAGAAGGCAGCGAGAAGGTATAGTCATTTTATTTCTTGCATAAAAAAGGAAGCAATTCGGCCAAAATATGTTCCGGAAGAAACATGGGAAAGTTGGATGAGATTTTGGAAAGATCCCAAGGTTATTGAACCGTCAAAAATAAATTCAAAAAACCGTTGTGGCGGTCAGAATGTTGTTGCAAAGGGGACTCACACGGGAGGCTCTATTACTATTGGAGAGCATCGTAAGAGACTTGTAAGTATATTTTCTCACACCCTTAATTTACTTTATATGCATAATATATAGTAGTAATGAGTTCTAACTGTGAATAGGAATAGTAGTACATAATTTCGTATTAAGCAGACATCTCATATAATCTTGTGTGCACTAGGCAGTGTCTTGGTTTTTGAACAAATGAAGCACTCAAGTAACATGTGAAGTCTCCCTATTATTGTTAAAGCTTTGCTGCTATAATTGTATTGGACTTCATTTTTACTTATTTGGTTGTCATGTACACTTGTAGTGATGGTTTTGTTTTACCACACAATAAATGTTTTAGACTCTAAATTGGAGGTTTATAGGAAGGGAGAGTTGATTGAGCATAATGACTCATATTCTACTTAGGAGAATGCTGGCTGAATTGGTCCAAAAGTATGTGAATTCCTTCTCTGTTATGCATAATCTTAAACCTTCAAGATGTTAAATTTTTTAAGTTACATTGCAGGCCACTTTTATTGAGAAAAAGGGCTGACTGCCATATTTTCTAGAGTGTGTTTGTAGTTTGTGAGCTCTTTTTTATACTATCATATATTAAACCATATAATTCTTTCATATTTTCACATTTTCATATGTTTTAAAAAAAATTCCTTGATAGGCTATTGAAAAGGGTCGAGATCCAACACCAAGTGAGTTACATTTGCATGTCCATACACATGGTCATGATGGAAAATCTTTTGTTGGTGAACGAGCTCGAAATATGCATGTAAGTCCAATTCTCTATAATTACATTCACTTTATATATCCGTTGGTGGAAAAATTGTGTAATCATTTTATTTTTTCAGTTAACGGTCTCTCTCGAGATTTTTCCCTACATTTTTAATCAAATAATAATAGGTAGATGTGTTGTGTGTACAACTACTTGTTGTTTGGACATCATAATAGTTGAATTGCTTTAGTGAATCATACAATGTTGTAAGCACATAAACTTTTTGTCCTGCATGAAGAACTCCACTAAATATCTTGGCAAATGCAAGGAAACATTCATCAGAGTCACTATTTTCGCTGTCATCCATAATTAGTAGTGGAAGGAAGGCTAGGCCTATGTTTGTGCAATTTTTTTTGGTCTAACAACCAACATCTTCTAATTCACAAAAGCAACAGTAGCATTACATCCATATCAGGTCCAGCACGCTTGATTTGGGACACGTTGATTGCAGCACGCTTCATTTCTTGCGCCCCATGTGTGATAGATAATTGTTGTTGTGATTGTCCATAGGAATGCTTTGCTTACTTTTCCAGCAGCCTTTCTAGCAATTCTATTCCACCATTCATTTATATCTTGCTGAACTATATTTATTTGAAGCCACTTCATTATGTTTGTTAGACATGCTTGAGAGAAAGCACATTTGAAGAATAAATGCTCTATATTCTCGTCTTTGCTTCCACACAGTTCACATTTCATATCAGTGATCAAATCCATTGCCTTCATTCTTTCTTTGGTTAGTAATCTTCCATGCATAGCTAACCAACGTGTGAATTGATGCCTGGGGATATTGTTGTTGTTCCATACCACTCTCCAGAATGGCCATTCCTCTTCATGTCACCTTCTCCACATATAGCCACTCTTGACAGTGTATTTCCCTGCTCGTTTAAGCCACCCATTCTGAACATATCCAGATGCATATGTACTTGTGCAATTTATTCTTGAGCAGGTTTATCAAGCTACTGTGGAAGCTGATGGAGACAAGGGGATGCTTGAGAAAGTTATAAAGTCTTTCAATTTGTCTATACCTCCCCGCGAAATTCAAAAAGAGGATCCTAAATTTGTACTTCAATCTGTTATGAGTCGTTGGCTTCCATTGTCCGATACCATATTGTCTATTGTTTTCAAACACATGTCTGATCATATATCTGCTCAGTCTTCCTTATATCTCGGTTGCTTCCAAAGCGAGAACTCTTAGATATATATGGCACAATAAATACATTAAGTTGTGCGTTCTCTGTGGGCAAAAAAAAGAGCAACATATATTTTAGAAAGACTTGAATATGCAATAAAAAGCTATCTAAGCTATCAACATCAACTTAATTTGGCTTATTATTATTGTTATGATTTGGCTTATTGTTATTGTTGTGGTTGTTATTAATGAATTTCACTGATTATTATTGTCTTTTGCAGGAAAAGTATCTAGAAATACTACATAATCAAACACAAACTCAATCTAATGTTGATCAATTGCAAGCATATTATCAAGTCGTAGGAGGGGAGAAGAAAATAAGGATATATGGTCTTGGAGCGCAAGATAAATCATTTTATGGGACGAATCTTTGTGCCTCAGCTTCTAGAATTGATGCTTCATCCTCAGTACCATGTACGAATGCTCAAACAATAGCAACAGAAAATTTGGATGACTTTATGACACGATTGATTCCTTCACTGACTGGTAAAATGCTTCCTGTACTTTTTGAGCGTGTACGTGGATTGATTTCTTCAACCTCATCTCAGCCAAACACACATATGACTCTTGTAACTTCTACTCCAACTAATGTTGATAAGGCTCATGCATCAGTTTCGGATGAAGATTAATGTGGTTCTCCAATCTCTCTTAGTTAGTTTTGTCGGCTAGATATTATTTTTGTTGCAAATACTTTTAGTTTTTTTGCTTGGAAATTATTGTTGGGGTTGTTTTAAACTTGGTAATGCACTTTGTAGTTTGTTATGTGTTTTGGATCTTGTAGAATATTAGTTTCTATGAATTAAGTTAATTTTGCAACTTTATAAATTGAATAGGATTTGCAATAATAAAATGTATAAAATGTAATGGCGACGGAATTAGCGACAAATTCGCTAAAATATTTTTGTTGCTATAAGAAGAAAGAAATATAAAAAGTAATGCCGACAGACTTAGCAACGGTTTTGTAACAATATTTTTGTAGCTACAAGAAAGGTAGAAATGTATAAAAAGTAATAGCGACGGAATTAACGACAAATTTTCGGTCGTCAATACGATGACACAATGAAATAACTTATAGAATTAGCGACAAAAATTACAAATATAATGACGGTTTTTTTGGTCGTTAGTTTTAACAATGGAAGAGATTCCTCGCTCATCCGTCGCTAAACTTACGATGGATTTGAATTTTTGTCGCTAAATTGTTAGCTACGCGCATAATACCGACAGATGACTTTTCGTCGCTATTCCATCGCTAAACCAAAATAGCGACGGAATAAGCTATTTAGCGACGGATTTCGTCCGTCGGTCAAAACAATTTTTTTTGTAGTGGGACCTAGTCTACGGACCATGGTCCCACCTACGGTCCGTAGGTCCTAGCGTGGGTTAAGACTTGGATGAAAAATTCTAGGGTTCTGGGAAGGGAGCTGCAGGTGGACAACGACGGACCCCACCTACGGTCTGTGGGTCACCCTATGGTCCATATGTCGCACCGTTGGTGGCACCTACAACTTCTGGAATCTGCATTTCTGATCTGTCTAGAATACAGGGTGTTACATGCAATGACAAAGCTAAATCATAATATAAAAGGGTTAGAAAACATAAAGCATAATCATGGTCAATGCAAGCTAAACATCTTTAAATCACTCGAGAGATACTTTAGAAGTAACCTTAGTCTATTATTGTGGGAAGTTTACCATGTAACTGACATGGACCATGTGAGATATAATATGGAATCCAGTGTCTATCCCACACCGAAAAGATATGTCCTTACTTGCCAAGGTAAGAATCATGAGTCTGAGCTAAAGTGGATCCGCTAGCTAATGTTTATCTGATACAATCATCCTATGGTGGCACATAGTTATGGGATAAAGAAATTGCTACTAGAGATCAAACCTCTACTAACGAGAGAGGCTCCATCTCAATATCCTCTCGGTACTAATACAAAATACCACGGAATAGTCATTAATCTTATTCATTTCATCATCCATGGAAAGACACAATTAAGCAATCAATCCAAGATAAATTTTATTTAGAATAGTTCCTTAATCTTGATTCAACTTAGGTGAGAAAACCTTTCGACCTTATGAATTCTTTTGTGAGAAAACTTTTTCACAATCATGTTCTTAGTAGTATGTGAGAAAACCTTTCACAGCAACAACAACAACATTGATGCTTTACTTTCAAAGCATCCTCAAATCATTTATATCAATTTCATAAAAGAACATGCATATCTTCGTAAATTCATCTTTCATAGTTCATAAGCTTCATCATATGATCATAGTCTAAAAATAATGGACATGCATCGGTTCATGCGAATTCAACTTTAAAAAAACATATAATTACTTCAATTCATGCATAAAAATATAAAAAAACAATTGATTGAATCATAATTGAAAAGAACCCTTGAAGATTGAATGAAATCCTAACTTTAATTTGAGAATCTACTTTTTAAAATTGAAGATTTTAGGAACCCTATGGAGGAAATGACTCCATAAGTGAATAATTTTATACCATAGAGTTCAAAGCCCAATTGCTATGGTGAATTTAATATCTTGGTGCTTGAAACCCTAATTTGCTCTTCCTTGAATTTAAGGGAATTCGGAGGGGGGGAACTTGAAGGGAATTTAAGGGTTTAATGAATGATTTAGAATGGGTAGTTTTAGGTCTTAAAAGACTTATATAGAGCTTAGGATTATGACCAAATCAACCTAGTTAAGGCATTAATAACTTAGAAAAAAGACTTAAAAGCCCCTTAAAATAACTGCCGACCCCTTTCTATGGTTTGGACCTGCGGTCCATACTGGTCAACGGTAGAAAAGTATAGAAACTTTCAAAATTGGACCAACTTTGATGGAACCTGTCAACGACTCATAGGTTTTCCTACGGACTATAGGCACAAATGGTAGAAACCAACTTAACCCTCAAAATTTCATCAAGTTTGGAACTCACTTACGAGGCCTATCTACGACTCATATAAAGGATGACGGGCCATCCTGTTAATCCATCAAATGAGGTACTGAAACTTAGTTTTACCAAAAAAGCTCTACCCTAGTTCTACGGTTTCCTTCCAACGGCCCGTAGAACTTCCTACGATCCATATGATGGACTTGTAAAAACCAGTTCTCAGATAGATTTCTGCACTATCTTTTTCCTTTCGACTTTCCAACTTCTAAGGTGTTACATTAACACATGATAATCAATAAAAATCCATAAAAATCAAAACAGAATAGAGCAATACATATTGATTTAAAACCCAATTTCATTTGCACACCCCTAAAATGGGGGTTTTAGCTAATCATGTATATAAAATGTAAAATAAAATATGCCAAAAACATTCTCAGCAATCAGATTGTTGATTTAAAACTTCAATTTAGGAGATCCACTTCTAAATTCTACCAAAAATATGTGTTACAAGCTTGGTTCTCACTCAAGAAAATAGAAAGTTCTATTATACACATATTTCACAAAGTTTCGAATCCAAAATGTATGATCAGAGAAGTATTTTTCTCTTTTTTTGGCTATTAAAATTTTCCCCAAAACTTAGCCAAAATTTCATTAAATGACCCAGTTAGCGATGTTAGTTGGTCTCACCGACTCATTCGGCGAGTTGCCGACTTGATCTTCTTTTAGCCTCTTGATAGCTGTGTTTAAACTATAGTTGGTGAGCTCGATAGATCCTGTCGTTCACATTCGGTGAGTCATCAATCATCACCCAAGCTTGCCTTTTTGGCCTTCAATTCATCCCCAATGTTCTGTCATTTTTCGTGAGCAGCTGTCATCTCGCAGACAGAGTTTGACAGCTCGCCATTTAGCCTATCTTTTCACCGACATGCCTTGAGCATTATAGTTGAAAACTCTGTCATTTTCAGTGAGGTCTGACACACTCGGCAAGTCGCGGAGTACCTTTTGGTGAGCATCAACTTCACATTTTTGCACTTTTACATGTTTTTAGGCTCTTTTGTATAATTTCATCTTTGCCATATCCTTGATCCTTCATAGCTACAGAACAACAATAAATCATCAGCTATGGACATAAAAAGACATTCAGAACGCTATTTGTTAAACTAAAGGGGCCTCAAATAAGTTCAAATCTAAGACTCATCCACCCCTTCCCTCCCTAACTTAACCTTGTCACGATCCAGGAGTACCCCCTAAATGTAACATGGCGACCCCGAAAGACTCCATACAAGCCACTTAGCTCTCATAACATAAGAAATAGAACAATAAGAGTAAAATAATAATCCAAGTCCAAAACATTTTATAAAAGCAAAGGCGGAAGTCTAATACATTTGTCCTTATCATAGTCATCTAATACAATAGAATGAAATTGGGCTTAGGCCAAACATCATGTCCAAAAGAAAAATACATGAAATAAACTATAAGAATGAAAGTTCGTCCTCAAAGCATGAGGACTCACCAAAGCTCGGAATATCTCAAGTCAACCTCCAGCCACGAAACTGATGACCCTGAATGGCGGACCCTACAATTGGGAGAAATGTAGGCAAGAGTATGTGTTAGTACAAAACAATATACCAAGTATGATAGCCATGCATAAAATATTTAAATCATTCTAAAAGGGACATTTCATTTCATGACGTGCAATTGACCAAGCTATAACATGATATAAAAGAGTTAGAAAACATAAGTCATAAATCATGGTCAATGCAAGCTAACTTCATCTTTAAAACCTTTGAACTCATATGTGATACTTCTTGAAGTAACCTTAGTTCATTATTACTTGTGGGCAATTAGCCTTAACTGACATAGAGATCATGTGAGCTATAACATGATCCTCCGATGTCTCCCACACCGAAAAGGGTTGTCCTACTTGCCAAGGTAGAACCATGAACTTCTAGCTTAAGTGGATCCACTAGCTAATAAACCTATGGGAGCACATATTTAAGGGATAAGGAGATTGCTACTATAAACACAACCTCTACTAGCGAGGGAGCTTCCATCTCATGAGATTGTTTCTAGAAACCTGGCCTCTACTACAAGAGAGCTTCCATCCCATTGTCAATATCCTCTCGATGCAAAACATAAATCCCATGGAATAGTATTTTCTTACTTGACTTCATTAATCATGGAAAGGTTCCCTTGGACAACCACTCCAAGCTAGTTCATTAGGATAGCTCTTACTTTTTGATTCAATTGGGTGAGAATGCCTTTCAACCTAAGAATCCTTTCTATGTGATAAAACCTTTCACATCTTGCTATTATGTGTTTATCAGAATATCCTTTCACAACACAACATCATCATTGGTACTTTACTCTCAAAGCACCCTTAAAACATTTGCATAGATTTTTAAGAAAATGTATAAGTCTATAATTTACCTCTTGAGGTTCAAAATCCACTTTCAAGCATCAATGCTTAGAAAACATGGGTTAGATATGTATTTCATCATAAATACATGTAAAGCTTGCAATACATGCTTAATTTGATACAACTCTTCCTTGAAGATCAAATCTTACATCATATGATTCATAACTTGAAAAAACATGGGGATTACATGGGTTCATGGGGAAATCATCATAAAATCATTGTATTTCATCAATTCATGCATAAGAGATCATAATTCAATCATTTAAATCAATAATGCAAAGAACCTATGATAATTGAAGAAACCCCTAA